AGCCATCCCAAACCCGCCTGGACGCCGTCCTGTGCCACTGCTGGAGGTGCCCCTGCTCTGGCGGGGGGTGGGATGGGGGAGCTCCAGAGGGCCCTTCCAGCCCCCACCAGTCTGGGATGCTGTTACCTGCTGAGCTCCGAGGGGAAAACTCAGAGGAAAACCTCCCGTGGTTGGTGTCTGCCTCCCCACACCGGGCACTGCCGGCAGCGGAACAGCCCGGGGCAGCCCCTGCTTGGGGGCAGAGGGGACATGGGACAGAGCTGCAGCCCTGGCCGGTCACCCGAGGGCCTGCGTTAGAATCCCAGGTTAATTAAGATTTTCCTTGCTGATGTGAATAAGCCTTATTGGTTTCACCACTCCGCCGTGCCCTTCCAAACCCCAATCCCCGGGTGCGGGTGTAGCCTGAAGTCGGGTGTTTGATGTCATACGGGGGTCTGAAGGTGGGTTACGGTTTGGGGTGTGAGTCTGTAAACCCCTCAGACCCCATGTCCGAGCACTAAACGCTACAGTGTGCAAGCACTGACCCCTCCTGCTGCTTTCAGAAGGAAAAGAGCTGGCAAAGCCTCTTCTGAACCCCCGCCGGGGCACCGCATGGCCGGGTCGGGGCATGGACGGGGCAGGAGCCACGTGCCGAGCTCCCGGCGTCCCTCCGGCTCCTGCCAGCCACCTCTCATCGAGGTGATTAAGGATTTCAGAGGGCAGAAGGCACCGCTCGTTTTCTGTTCTCCTGCCAAGAAGCGGGGAAATTGTGCTTCTGCCTAGAATAAAGGATTTTTTAAAAACAGTAAAATATTTTAATGGCAGTTTAAAGGGCCACTGTCAACCCCCGGAGGCCTCTTTGCTTTAAACTCTGCAAGGATTGAAGGACTTCTGCCAGTTGAGAGTCTGCATCGCTCTTTAAGCGTCCGTCGCTGCTTGGTGTGGGTCCAGCGGCTGAAGCGAGCCGGGTTCCTCCGGCATCCCGCTCCGGCTCCGGCAGGGAGACGCCGGGTACACTATGAGCCAGCCCGGCTCCTCGCCACGGCTGTCGGTGCCACCGCTGCAGGGACACGTGCTGCTGGCCATCACGGCGAGCTGCTGGGGCGGATGGGCCACTGTGGGCACTGGGGGAGGGATGCCAGAGCCTCGCCATGCAGCGGGGCCCTGAGTGCCCTCCGAGTGCTGCGTTCCCCTCCCGCCGCTTGTCTGCGCTGGGTTTGCTTTGAAGCAAACGCCTAAAATTCCCCGTGCTTCACCGCGTAGGTGTCTTTGGGGAGAACGGCTTCTGCGTTCAGAGTTTTTCTTCGTAAGTGCATTGCAATACATCTGTAAAATACGTTCCTGGGGGTAGAGAGCACCTTCTTACATTCACGTCGCGATTGGCACCATGGGGACTTGGTTCTTGATGAGGGCAGTAAGGAACCAGCGAAATCATGAGGAGCAAAAGTCCCCGGTCGCTTCTGGTGTCCCCAAGCAGAGCACCTGGACCGGGAGCGGTGGATGCCGGCCAAATCTGGCGGCTCTGCCAAGCAGCTCCCAGCTCTTCCCCCCCACCGCCATCCATCCCAGCTGACAGGGCTGATTTTTTCCTCTCTGTTGCTTGCAGGTGGGATCGGGTTTGGACGTGCCAAAGGAAACTCCGGCTCGGAGGCGGACGATGAAACCCAGCTAACCTTCTACACTGAGCAGTATCGGAGCCGGAGGCGAAGCAAAGGTACAAAATGGTCTGGGCACCAGTGATGTGTCGTGGGTTTAGGAGGGGAAAAAATGGTTGAGCACCGTGACTGTTTCTGTGGGTGATGCTGCATGATGCCGCACAGGTCTAGGGAAGGATGGCAATACCCATCTGTAGGAATAAGGACGTCCCAAGGTGCGCTGGTTGCGTGATGCAGTGCCACGTGGGAGCCGTAAATATCAGTTCCCGTTGATGTTGCTGAGGTTCGGGGTTTCTCTGATGGTTTCTACTGTCGGTTACGTTACACATGCCCTGGCACTTCTCTAAAGCTCCACCAGCGGGTGGGGACTGTGTCCGTCACCATGCTGGTGCCAGCGCAGCTGTCAGGGATGGTCACCTTGGCAATTCCTTGCTCCAGACTCCTGTTTTCTGCCCATTATTTCCCACGCAAAGCATCCGTCGGACGGAGAATTCCCGGCCTTCCTCTCGGCACAAAGGCAATTAAAATGGAACAAATTCAAAATCAGGGCTGGGGCAGGGATTTGTAGACCGGAGTCCCTTCAGGCTTTTTTTTTTCTTTCCTTTTTTTTTTTTTTTTGAGTTAGAGGAGCTGAGAAACCGAAATATTATCCACAGTTTGAAATTAGCGTCCGCGTTTCCTCCGCTCACATCACGCTGGATTTTTTTTTTTGTACGGGACCCTCGGACCAAGCTCTTTGGCAGAGGACAGGGCGAGCTTTGGTGCTGCATTTGAAAAATCACTGCCAGGAACTAACTGCGTTGGGAAACAATTTAAAAATTGCACAGCGAGTCTGCTCCCTCCGTTTGTTTTCTGCATTAAGCCGGGCACCGGCAGAGCGCAGCGTGCCAGATAGATGCCTGCGCCCACCGCAGCAAACCCGGCCCCATTTGTTTCGATGATGAGGCGTTCTGATAAATGCTTACAATGCATTTATTTGGATGTGAAATTACCTCGACGCCTCTGATCAGCTTGATGATTGCACATGGGAATAAACACACATATGCACAGGAGGGTATTGCATTTCTTCCT